ATTAAATAAATACATGGTAAACTAAAAATGAGATTTGTGCAATATTATCACTCCAAATTCAAAGGGCTCTTGCTTAAAGGGATCCATTATAAAATAATATAAACTATTTAAAAGATCATCACCTAACAATTTAAGCTTTTAAATTGAATTAATTCTTCATCATTAATCTGAATTTAAATCGAGAACGACCATGTAAATTCTTCCTGCTAAATTTTTATCAAAGTATTTCAAGATTCAAAATCGTGAACATTGATTATTAAGCTGGAATAACATACCATATGTTTGGTGGTACAGATGAAATTTTTTAACTTCACCAGTTGAAGAGAACTGGAATCCCCTAGATAAACAGTGGAATTTGATTAAAAATGAAAATTTCGGTACAAAATTATTTTTTCATATTTTTAATTATATATTTTTTAACAAATGAATAAGAGAACCGGATGATTTATATTTGTTTAAATTAAAATTAATTTTACACTATTTAATAATGTTTTACTGAATAATATTGTATCAAAGTCCACAGTTGGATTAATAATCTAAAATTATTTAGCATTTTAGTAATACACATCAAGATGTAATACTCACTTTTAAAATTTACACAAACGAGAACCATTTAATTATATTTTTATTGTTATTTAATTTTTATAAAATCCTAATTAATAAATAATTATAGTTCAACATTTAAATAAATCAAAATCACATTTTATACTGTAAGTAATTTTATTTTTTTTGGTATCCATATTGTAAGTAATTTTTATTTACACATAAATCAATCCTTCTTCAATAAATAAGATATTTTTAACTACAGCTTTTATAAACATTAAATAAAATTTGATTTCACTTTAAAAAAAAAAAAAAAACAACTCATTTATAAGCAAAGTATCTGATTTGGTTGGGGTTAGTGGCCATGTCATCACGTGGCATGAAGAGAATTAACCTCGTCGTAGCTCCCTGGAGATCACCGATCAAAATATCACTTTTTACTAATTTTTTTATCTAAATGTCACGCGAACATTGTTATTTTCCATTCTGTCACGGGGTAAGTTCGCTACAGCGGTTAGCGAACTCAGTTTGCTGACGTATCACATTTCTAGTGGTTAACAAGTATCAAGTAAATATATATATATATATATATATATATATATATATATATATATATATATATATATATATATATATATATATATATATATATATATATGGTCAGGATCATTTTACACCAGTGTAAGTTACACTCTTAATCTTGTTCGTTGATCCCACTTATATCTAAGGGTTCTAATTTTTTAGTAATGTGAGCTATTTGATACAGGTGGATCAATGGTCAAGATTGAGTGTAAGACTTCTAACTCTTACACCGCTGTAAGAATATCCTGCCCCATATATATATATATATATATATATATATATATATATATATATATATATATATATATATACGAAGTTCGCTAGCTTGGGTAGCGAACTTGGTTAAAACTAGCGAATTTGGTGTCCACTAAAAACGTGACACGTCAGCAAACCGAGTTCGCTACACCGGGTAGCGAACTTGCTCCTATGACAGATTGAGAAATAACATTGCTCGCATGACATTTAGGTAAAAAATTGGTGAACAATAATATTTTGGTCACTGTTCCCTCCGGGGATGCCGATACCTTAAAAGTAAAAAATAAAAAAAATTCTATGATTGAACCTTCTGGCTACGCATTCCCAATAACCAAGCGTGCCACCCACGGAGGTTATCCATTCATTTCTTAGTTTGGTGTTTATACGCGTGGAGGTATTGCTGCTAAATTGCTGATGAAATTTAAAATGTTAACTTTAAAAAAAGAAAAATAATAAAGAGTTCTCAACAAAAAATATGAAACTATTTTAATTCTTTAAAAAAAATTGATTTTTGATCATTTTAAAATTTTAATTCTTTAAAATTGTGATTCTTCTGAAAAAATTAATTAGGATAAAAAAAAATTGACTACGAAAAATCTCCATGGATGGTCCAATCAAGATCAAAATAAAGGACAAGTCCTCTTTTTCTGATTGACTACATGAATTTGTTCACCTAGCAGTTTTGACCGTACTGTCACAATTTCCCAAAATAATTATGAATGCCACGGTGTTAAAATAATTTTCTAAACTGCTATGGCTCAAATTCGTTGGGCGAGTTTTAAATAGAGGTGATAAAATCGGCGGCCTGTCTCGTCCCTTCCCACTTCATCAAAAAATGAGTCAGCTCGTCCTATCTTGCTTTTAAAAGTGGGTTCAAAAACCCAGCCTGTCCTGCCCCGTTTGGCGGGTTGGGCGGGATGGCCTGCCAGCCCGAGTCTATTTTACACTGATCGCTTTGGTCCGCCTATGCCAGCCATCAACCCGCCAAAAAATAAGTCGTCCCGCCTCGCCTCACTTTTGAGATGGATTGAAAAACTTAGCCCGCCCCGTCCTATTTAGCGGGTTGGACGGGTTGGCCCGCCGAGCCGAGTCCGTTTTGCCGGCTATAGTTTCAAGTGCCAAGTGGGAGAATAAAACAAACTTATCATGAGTGGCAATGAGTATAGATAGAGGTGTAAATGGGCTAGGCTGGCCAACAAGGACCTACGGCCTAGCCTATATTAGTCTAGACTTGACCTATTACAAATAGTAAAATATAATATGCCTAGGCTTTTAAAAAATACCTATTTAGAAAACAGGCCATAGATTTTTTTGTAAATGTCATTCCTATAAGCCAACAGGGCGGCCTATATCATATTATTTATTTTAAAAAATAAATAAAATTATTATTTTAATAATTTTGAATAATAAAATAATATTATTTTAGTTATTCTTTTAATTATTGAATGTTTAATAGGCTTAAGCAGGCCAACAGGCCTAGGCCCAAGGCTTTTAGTTTTTAAATATAGGTCAGGGCAGACTTGTAACTTGGAGTCTACACAAGATAACAGGACAGGCCAGACACAACATTTTTTTTTCACACAGGCCTAGCTTATTTAAGTCAAAGCCTAGTCTAGCCCAACCTACTTACACCCTAAGTATAGAATAAGTCAATTCATTTTCGAAAAGTCATAATTTTTTATTTGGATGTCTAAATTAGATTTTTTTGTTCCATTTAATTTTTTTATATCTATGCCTTAAAAAAATTATTTTTAGTGCTGGAAAATGAAAATAAGAATTTGAATCAAATAACATAATTAATAAAGATAAAATATGTCAAACAAGGCACAATGAAGCATTTCTTGGGAAATTTTTTCATCGAAATCCCCTTCGAGCATTTACTAGCACGCAGATCTCGAAAAATTATGTGAAATAAAAAATAAAAAGAAAAAAATTAACTATGTACTACGAGTAGTATATAATTATAATATTAAAGCTGCTTTATTTTTCTCTCTTCTCAGACATTGTCGGCTGACGTGACGGAGAGAAAAAAATAATTTTATCGTTATATTTATGTACTACCTGTAATATATAGTTAATTTTTTTTGCAAGAGATAATTTTTCCCAACAATATGAGAAAAATGGAAACAATAAAAAAATTACTTGATTCAGACTCTCGAGTTAAAAGTTACGGTCTTTCAAAATTTTACGATAAAACTTTTAAAATTTTGTGTCTTGTGTCATGAAATAATAGGCTAACAAAGTCATTGTTAGTGACGAATTTAGATAAAATTTTCCAGCGTGGCATTAAGGTAAATAATAAAAAAATGTTACTCAACAAAGACACTATCACTTAGTATTGATATGACATTTCTATACATGTGTCCCATCATATTTTTTATATATGCATAATTTTTACATAGGAAAAATATTTGTCCTTTTAAATGACATAATTTGTGTCATTATATTCTCACAAAGAGAGATTCACACCGTTATTTTTTTATCCACTTTCTCTTCGCATAATTTATCTCTTTCTCTCACTTAAAATGACACCACTTTACATCTTTTAAAATGATACACACTTTTATCACACAACTTCACACCATAATAGCTCATAAGATAAAATGGTTATGACATCACATTTTCTATACTTAAAAAATCTCCTTTTGTACTTAAAAATAAAAAATAAAAAAAAATCCTCGACTCTATAATTAGAGATCTCAACTTCACCAACGTGATATCTTCTTCCTTGTGAAAGTTTGCTATTATTCTACCAAAATAATTCCGTAGCAATAATCGAGCTCAAACACCTTATTTCTTTGAATAAAACTTTAGTATTATCATTGTATCGAGTGCGACGGTGATATTATAATTATATATTTCGATCTATAATATTAAAATTATATTTTATTTTTCTTCTTAAAAATTTATCAACTGATGCAAAAAGAGAGAAAAATACAATTTTAATGGAAAAATATTTGTCCTTTTTGAGCATGTTTGAAGCACCTGATAAAGAAGATAGAATATGATAACTTATCATACATATCTTATTTTTATCTTTTGTTTGGTGGGTCAATAGGATATAATTAGCTTATCCTATTATCTATTTTATTCTATCCAATACATGATTTCTTATCGGAGCTGGGTTAAGATTCAACAAAATAGGATACCAATATTGGATACCCAATATATCTCTACGCTACCCAATATATTTGTATTTATTGCATTATATTTTATTTTTTCTTTCTCCTTTCTCCTTCTACATAATCTTATCAGATTACTAATCAGGTGCTCATCAAACATATGACATGATATCGGCTTATTAGCCCCATATCATATCCTACTTTTATCATATCCAGTCCACCAAACGAGCCCTTAAATGACACAAATTGTGTCATTTCACTCTCACAAAGAGGTGAAATCTACACTTTTTTTTTTTTTTTTTTTTTTTGCTCTCTCTCCCTTTTCATCTATAATACAATTTTACATGCTTCAAAATAAAACACACTTTTTGCTACTATAATATATTATAATTGTGTACCCCTCTTTCGTCTACTTATCCATTCTCAATTTCTGACCGGCTCACCTCTTATAAAAGCCTCACTGAAACACACTAAAAATTGAAACCAGAGTGACCCCAACATTTGCTTTCTTCAAACCCTGAACCATGAACCTTTTCTTTGCTACCTCCCTCTTCCTCATCCCAATTCTCCTTCTAATTAGGAGATTATCATCCAGAAGAAGGGTCCCTCCAGGTTCTCTTGGAATACCCCTCATTGGTCAAAGTCTTGCCATTCTTGAAGCATTGCGTGCCAACACAGCAGAAAAGTGGTTTGAAGAAAGAGCAAGGAAATATGGTTCTGTTTCAAAGCTAAGCCTGTTTGGAAAACCAACAGTATTCATCTATGGACAGGATGGAAATAGGTTTATATACACTAACGATGGTCGCACTATTGGTACCGGGCAACCTCAGGCCATTAAAATGATGTTGGGAGCCCGAAACTTGCTCCAACTGAGTGGCCAAGATCACAAGCGGGTCAAAAGCGCACTTGCCAGATTCTTGAAGCCAGAATTCTTGAAGCAATCTGTGGGGAAAATAGATGAGGAAGTTAGGAGGAACATTGAAATGCATTGGCAGGGGAAACAACAAGTCAAGGTAGGTTGTCTCAACCCAATATCTATTTTGGTTAAACTAAATATTGGAAAATATGTATTAGAATACGGAAAAGTATTTCTATCAGATAAAGTTATGTCCTCTTACCTCAAAATGTTTTGGGATTACAAAAAAATCTTGATTTCTTGTCTCAAAACGATGTCGTTTTGAGCTTAGTGAAGATAACTTATTTTCATTGACAAGAAAAATCCTTTACCCATTAGAATAATATAAACTATTAAAAAAAATTTATCTAATATTTTAAAGATTTTGGGTTAAAGTCATTCTTTTAATGATATCAAAGCTTTAGTTATTACAATTTTATGAGTTCTATCCTCACCATCTCTATTTTAGAGTGGAATTAAAATAAGCATAAAATAAAATTTTTTTGGATATATTCAATATCCACACTTCTAGCCCAAAAAACTTTTGTACGAGAGAGTGTATTAAAAAATAATATAAATCATTAAAAAAATTAATTTAAAGTGATTCTTTACAAAGGAAGGTGGTCTTTAGCAAGAGATATATACATCAATAATTTTATGTCAGACTTCTCTAACACATCTCTTTCTATAAAATTTATTGGTTTTGAATGGTTGATAATATATATATATATATATATATATATATACATATACATAGAAGAGGCTTACATTGACAAATTTTTTTCTTACAAATTTACAAACTATTAAATTTGACTAGTGGTATACTTTTGATTGAAGTCTGACTAGTTAGACTTAATGTAGTTCGTAAGTTTATAAAAACAAAATTATCAATTTAACCCCTCCTATCAATTTCTTTATGCTAAAAACTTTCGCAGTTAAATATTTATTTAAATAGTAAAGGTAATGAGGATCTAACGTGTTCACCAGCTCTGATATTCAACCTAATAACTTAGTTAAGTTGGTAACCGAATGTCACTTTGATGATTTTATATTGGATTATATTTATCTTACGTTGTATAAGATAAACAAATTTTCTATACACACAAAACAGAAGTAGGTTCCACATTTTTTTTTTTTCTCTTCCCTTGCATGTGAGTTCTACTTATAATTTTATTTCTATAATATAAGAAAATTATTTTCCTACGACATAAAATAAATTATAAAATCTCTTTCAAACACCGACAGAGCATAACTTTTTAGTCACAGGTTTTCCTACCAAGTTGCTTACGCAACTGCGTGTTCAAGGCACGAATTCAAAATCAGGGATTAAGTTAGAATATTTGATTGTTTTACCTTAACCAATAAATTTGAGTTCGAGCTATGTACACACAGTTATATCAAAAAATTAATAGAGAAAGTTTAGAGTAAATACCTTTTTTTTTGTTCCTCAGTAAATTTTATGATGCCTGTTTTAATTCCTAACAAATAAAAAAGCCTATTGTGATTCCTAAGAAATTCAAAATGGACCTATTTAGTTGAAATCGTGGTCCCTCACAATTCAAAAAAGACTCAAATTAGTCCTTAAAAGGACTAAATTGAGTCAATTTTAAATTTTTTAAGGACCACGATGGGCCTTTTTATTTGCTAGGGACTAAAGCGGGCATTGTAAAATTTGCTGAGGACCAAAAATGGTATTTACTCAAAATTTTATTTTTCTTATGGTCTTGCTAATCTCAAGATAGATTAGTCATGTAATCAATAAACATGGAGAAATAAAAAAAAAAATGGATCTTCTGATATGTTATTTAACATAATCACGTGAATTTTAACCATATAAAAGTGAATTATGGGTGATAAGAGAATAAAGAGAAAAAAAAATATTAGAATAGGTAATAACAAAATTATCATTATTAATTTATTTTTATATGGTTAGAATTTTTCCACGTGATATAACTATGCTAAATAAGATATGAAATTATCCATTTCCAAAAAATCTAACCGCAAAAGACTACAGAGAAAAAATAATAAAATTCATATTGGGCTGGAATCTGAAATAGTCATCATGAGGGATTAGGGATGTATATCCCCAACAAGAGCAAACATACAAAGCTTTAAACTCCCATCTTCAATCAACACTCCCATTCTCAGTACTCCTATTTCCCTAGTAAACAGAACCTTAATTAATATCAAAACTCTTTTATGTGGAGAGAGAGAAGAAGAGACAGGGGATGCTAACAAAAGGCAAAGCAAATCAACGTGGAATGAAACTAATGTCAATTATTTTGTTATGCTGATAGGTGTTGCCCCTGACGAAGACCCTCACATTCAACGTAATTTGCTCTCTTCTGTTTGGTCTTGAGCAAGGAAAACTTAGAGACCAATTCCTAGCTTCGTTCCAAACAATGATAAAAGGAATATCTTCAGTTCCTGTTAATATTCCCTTCACACTGTACCGCCGCAGCCTCAAAGAAAGTGCAAGGATGCAGATGATGTTGAAGGAGGTTGTACAAAAGAAGAAGATTGAACTCGAGCAAAATGAGGCTTCTCCTCACCAAGACTTAATCACATCCTTGCTTTCCATGGTTGATGAAAATAACAAACAATTGATCACTCAGAGGGAAATCATTGAAAATTCTATGCTTGTCATGTTTGCTGGACATGAAACTTCATCTGTTCTAATTACTTTCATTATCAGAGTCTTAGCTAATGATCCTACTATTTGTGAAACAGTTCTTCAAGGTATATGCATAGATAAGTGTGTGAGGAGCTCAATGTAGGAAAGACCTATATTATTGGATTAAGTAACAACTCACGACAGGAAACTTATATCACATCTTAACCCAAAATCTTTATTCTGTCTTTCATGATTTAAGCCATGTCATTTTAACCATTAATATTAGAGTAACTTATTGTTACCATCATTTTTCTTAGAAAAAGGTTACATTGACAAACTTTTTTTTTTTTTTTTTTTTACAAACTTACAAATTACACTATGTTTTACTGGTAAGACTTCACTCAGGAATGTCTTACCAGTAAGACATAGTACAGTTTGTAAACAAAAAGTTTGTAACTATAACTTTTTCCTTTTTCTTAACCATAAAAAAAGGCCTATTTCTTGTTTCCTGAGGATAGTTGTAGTGATTCTTCTTGTTTTTTAAATAAGAGTAGAGAGACATGTTTGTTACCGTTGTTGCAGAACAAGAAGAGATAGCAAAAAGCAAGTCCTTAGGAGAGTCTCTGACATGGGAAGACCTTGCCAAGATGAAGTATACATGGAGAGTAGCATTAGAAACTCTTAGGATGGTCCCTCCTGCCTTTGGTTTCTTCAGAAAGGCTTCCACAGATATTGAATACGGTGGATACATTATACCAAAAGGGTGGCAAGTAAGTACAATCCTCATGCCTATATCATCTTTCAACTTCTCCCCATGCAATCATGCCACTAACTATGAAACTTTTCTACTATTTCTGTATAGATCTTATGGGTTCCGGCAATGACTCACATGGACAATAGCCTATTCCCAGAGCCATCAAAATTTGATCCAAGTAGATTTGAAAACCAGGGATCTATCCCACCCTATTGCTTTATCCCATTTGGTGCTGGAACAAGAATATGTCCAGGAAATGAGTTAGCTAGGATTGAAACTCTTGTGGCAATCCATTATCTGGTAACAAGGTTTACGTGGAAGCTAGCTGCTGACAATTTATTCAGAAGGAATCCAATGCCAGAACCCACTCAAGGACTACCTATTCAAATTTGGCCAAGGAAACTTTCTTAGCTCTCATTTCAAGAACTTCTAGTTTTCTAAATCCAGATGTACATAAATAAAAACTATATTGGCATATTATAAAGGGAAATACAAGTCTCATGTTGCATGAGACTTGCTATCTCATGTCATAGACTCAAAATATGTGGGACCTACTTTTTTAAAAAAAAGTAAAAAAATAAATAAAAGCTAGCACGACTTTTGATGTATGAGTAGGAGGGGTATGTTATCTCATGTAACATGAGAAAAACATACCCCTATTATAAAACATATAAAACTTGAGATAGATTTACCTTATTGTAATGTTTCAATAAAGTGCAAAGCATATGAGTTTTTGCATCAATCAAGTAGTTTCAGCCGAACTAGAGAGTAGAGAGCAAGGCAGATTATGTTGATGCATTCTGCTTCCTTGTTTAGGACATCTATTATGTTGAACCCTTTCTAATCCTTATTTCAAGAATCGCATTGTATCACCAACACCTAGGAAAAGTTTGTATTTTCAATGTTTTTTAACTGGTATGTTACAATATCATGTTTACAGTTTGCTGTCATTGTAGGAGGCCATGAGAATCCTAAGGAACTTGGACGCTTTGCATCTGCTAAAATTAAACTTTACCTTGGTGAAAATGATAATTCCCTTTCTTGCTTTCTCACAACAGAAATGAAAGAAGATAACAAAAAAAATCAACCTTAAGCTTTTTATAACCTGAATTGTATGATTTTAGGTGACGTTTGGTAGAAGAGATATTTCTTTTCAAAAAAAAAATTGTTGGGAACTAAGGTAGAAAAAATTTATTGCTCGGTAAGATAAAAAAAGGTGTTTGGTATGCCAAAATTTATTGCCAGGTAAAATAAGAAAATGTGTGTTGGCTGTAGGCAAATTTTTTTACCACACATTGAATGGTAATATTTTATAATGAGATCATGTGTAAAACATGTTTCCCTGCTTACCCATTTTTTTATTTTACTCCTACCAACCATGGCTAAACTATTTTTCTCACCCCACTATCCTTGGCAATTTTTTTTTCCTCTTACCAAACACCCCCTCAGTGTATTTAATATTGGCAAAATCATTTCTCATGTTGCCTCAAGGGAAAATTTTTGCAGTAATAAATTATAATTATGTACTAGGGATAATACATAGTTGTAATTTTAAAAACTATCAGCTCATGTGGTTGGACGAGTAAAAACAACTTTAATATTACAACTATGCACTATCCTTAGTATATGGTTATAATCTAGATAGCACGGACACGCAAATATTTTGAAAATTTGCGTGTCGGACACGTGTCCGACACGGACACGTGTCCGACACGGACACGTTCCCACACGCTCGGACACGCGTCCGACACGCGGTCAACATTTGAGGACACGCGGTCAACTCTCCGACACGTTCCAACACGTTTTTCCGACACGCAGTCAACTTTTTTCGACATGCGGTCAACGCTTGGACACGCTTGGACACGCTCGGACACGTTTTTTTTTTTTTTTTAAATCTTAATTTTATTTTGTTAACTAAATATAAAAGAAATAATTTATAAATTGATTTTTTTCTATTATGAAATTTGACATGAAAAATTACAAAGTATGAAAAATTATTTATATTTATATTTATGTTATGAAATTTAAATATTTGATTGGTTATATGACTTATTATGGACTCTTATATATATTAAATATAAATTATATTATATATATTAAAAATTTTATTTAATATCAAAACGTGTCCCAATGTGTCCAAATATGACATTTTTTAGAATTAACGTGTCGGCGTGTCGTGTCGTGTCGTGTCCCGTGTCCGTGTCAGTGCATCATTGGTTATAATTGATCGCATAAGAAAGAAAAATTTGCATCAACATGAGAAGTTGGGACCGTTTAATATTTGGGGTTTTAGTTTGTCCTTTAATATTACACAAAAAAATCTCTTACGTACACAATATTTTGTGGCGCCCGCACTTTTTAAAGAAAAAAAAAATAAAAAAATTAAGGCACGCAAAACAAATCTCTATAACATTACACAATCACTTTTCCTATAACGTAACTCTTATAAAACCCATAAAATTTCACAGCTAGTTATCTGCCGATGTTATGTGCTTGTTCTATAATTGGTGGCCGGAGTTACGAACCAAAATTGAATCTAGAAACAAACCAACTTTAAATATAATCGAATATCATCCAAAATTTCTCGTTGAATAATGTAATTAATATTAGAAGTAAAAGGCAACAAAAATTGAAAAGGGAGGAACCGAAAAAAACATGAAAGGTTTTTTTTTTTACGTGATAAATAATTTCAAAAATACTATGGATCCTGAGCATATTATATTATATTTATTTTATACAAAATGTAATACTTTTACAGGTGGTTATATTTATTTTAAAATTAAAGTTTTAATTTTTTTTTATTTAAAAGTTTTTATGTAGGGTAGGCTATTAAATAAAGCTACATGATTTGATTTTAATTAGGGATCAAACAGGGCTGGAATATTCCTATTCGGGTAATATATTCTTTTTCTTTGATAATTTATTTATTAAATGCTACTTCTACATCTAGTTATTCGTGGAAGAAACACATCCTTACATATCTATGACACTATCTCTATATTTGGCTGGCATTTAGCGATGTCATGAAAAGTTTGGTAATAAGTGGACACAAAAAGTATACTCGAAGACTACACACCCTTTCCATTCCATTTGTTGCTTATGACTTATGAACCAGCCACACCATCCAATCAAATAAAACATACTTTAGAGGACCACAAAAAATAGCAATTATTTTGGTCCAAGTATGCAATTTCCATAAGAAACGTAGAAGCAAATTTCCAATAAAAAATGTGACACAAATTCAATGTAAATCCTCCAAAGTTCTCTTGAGATTTCCTTAGCGCCACGCATCCTCCTTACCCACCACACCATGCCATTCTCCTACTTCCACAAAACACTTCTTCCCAAAGCCACTATTGAATAGCTCCAATTTTTTTGCATATTTAGCTCTTTTCTTATACAACCATTTGATTCCTCTTCAACATCTCCAATGTCTTCCTTAACCCAAAACAAGTTTCTACCAAGCTACCACCACCAAGTATACACTAACCGCCCACTCCAACACCCATCTCGCGTGTGTTGCACCACCACAACCACTACCACCTCGAAGTCTAGGCCCAATGCTAAGCAATTAGTTATTGAGCCTGGGCTTCAGCCGCCACCGCCAACGTCAACGGTGGTTAACACCACTAACCGGCCCATGGACAATGACCCAGATTTGCAATCAACATGGTCTCACAGGGCATGGGTTGTAGCTGGGTGCACAACTTTGGTTATTTCTTTGGGTGAGTCCATAAAAGGTGCAGTTGATTTACACATGTGGGTTGAGCCAATTTTTGCAGGCTGGGTTGGTTATATTTTAGCTGATCTTGGATCTGGGGTTTACCATTGGGCCATTGATAATTATGGGGATGGTTCAACCCCAATTGTTGGATCCCAAATTGAGGCTTTCCAAGGACACCATAAGTGGCCATGGACCATAACTAGGCGCCAATTTGCAAACAACATGCATGCACTTGCACGTGCAGTGACCTTCACAGTGCTTCCTATAGACATTTTTTGCCATGACCCTATATTTCAAGGGTTTGTTGGGATGTTCTCTGGTTGCATTATGTTTAGCCAGCAGTTTCATGCATGGGCACATGGTACAAAGAGCCGGCTTCCACCACTCGTTGTGGCGTTGCAGGAGGCCGGGGTGTTGGTGTCACGGCCGCAGCACGCCGCGCACCACCGGCCACCGTATAACAATAATTACTGCATAGTGAGTGGAGTATGGAATGAGTTTTTGGATAAGTATAAAGTTTTTGAAACTATGGAGATGTTATTGTATTTTAAACTTGGGGTTAGACCCAGGTCATGGAGTGAGCCTGCCTCTGAGTGGATGGAGGAGATTAAAATCCCTTCTCAAATCCAAGCCCAATGATCCATCATTTTCCTTCTTTTTTATTGGCATGGGATCTATAGGTCGAGGTCTAGATTTGATTGATGTAATTAGCTTATTTTATGGCTGTTATCTCCCTGTTTTATATCATAGAAATAAAAATTCAATAGATTTTCTTTTTGGGTTCAAAAAATCATTTAAGACTTAAGAGTGCATATATAGTAAACAGCTTTTAGCACAAGTAATAATTTATACGGTATAAGTTAAATTATAATGTTTATAAGGTTAAATAAAATACAAGCAGAAATCTTTAATGTTCCTTAATCTTAATGTTTAATATTCTTCATTTGAAGCGCCTCCAAGGCAAAAATGAACTCAAATGACATGAGAAAACTTCATTAGATACAAATGTAAAACAATACATCAAAAATAAAATTCTTATTATTTTGAACTTCATATATAATATTATTGAGAAAAGTTTTTCTCAAGTTACATAAAATTTTTTATCTCATGTCATAGACACATCGCAATCCGAACCAGCATTTCTTTTTCTTTTTTCTTTTCTTTTAACCGTGGGACCCACCCAATTATGTCTCTACATGAGATAATATTATCTCATGTAACATGAGAAAAGCATTGCCCAATATTATTATCACTAACAATGTCTTGAAGCTTTGTTGTTATAAGGTAAAATTTTGGTCATTTTTAATGCTGTATCAAAGTATATTTTAGTTTAACATGTTTCTTATCATAGATAGAAATGTTCAATTCAGATTTTAGATCTTACACGAACTGCTGAAATTAAAATAAGTGCTCATCAAGAGAATACATAAACAACTCTGTTATGGATACATCATACATGCATGAAATTACTAGTCTTGGAAAAAAAAAATATTAAACATATCCACATCACTTTGATACTTTGGAATAGGGAGGAGGCTTCCAAATCATACTTAGCAGGAGATTTATTTGCTGCAACTCCATTTTCAATTTGGTCATACTTTCTTCGCATCAAACATGATATAAAATAATTGATTAGGGGGCAAAAAAAAAAGGCAGAATTATTTCAAGTCCAATTTGAGAAAACTAGCTTGGCATCAATCTACTTTGCCAACCAGACACCTTGTCAGAGCACCATTTACAGATGCAGTATATTTCTCACTTCCTTATCACCATACACTTGCATACACAAGATAAATAGAAAATTAATCACACATTTCAGGGCAAGAAATCAAGAAAGCAAAAGGAATAACAAATAGCAAGTTTGCTACAATCTTAAACTTAAGAATAATGAAATATGAATATCAAGATTGTGTATTCAACACGTACAAAAAGGGTACAATATATATAGAGAAAACACTACGTATACGTCTTCAAAAATCTGACCTCAGTTTCCTTTATTACAAATTTATTAGGAATCAACTCCTATTGAAGATGAGATGGGAGATACACAGGGAAACCAATACCGTCGTTTACCATCTCTATGGCCATCATCAATCATTGCAAGTCCTTCCTGCATGAGCCAAGTAGCCAACATTGTTTCTTTAACCACATAAGGAGAAAGAAACGGATTTTTCTTAGAAAAAGTTTTAGTTATCTTACATCAAGCAACGTATCAAGGGCATCAATGGCACGACCCGAAGTCCAAGACAGCCGCCTCTCTACTTCATCAACAGTCACAAATCCTTGAGCCTGTGGTAAAGGAGTGCAATGGAAATGTTAAAAGACTAACCAATCTCACATAGAAAACTAATTGCACAGCAACTTTTGCTACACTGGATAAGCGGAAATAGAATCTTTTCATGCTTCACAATAAGGAATCCAAGTTCTAACTAATATCAATCAAATTAAACCACACAATGGATGAAGCTTCCTGTTCTCAAACTGACATTTTCATTCCTCTGAGCCCCACTATTTTATAAAACCACACGTATTATTACCAAGAAGACAAGATCCAAATCAAGAGAATTTCATATTAAAGATTGAATAAACATAAAATACTAAAATAAAAAACAAAAATTTCCCCCAAATTCCGAGGAGTGTCTCTCCATACCTAACAGCAAACTCTGATAATACCAGATTTTGATAATGAGCAATTAGGAAGAAGTGCAAGAGTTTCCAGATTATTTGTGACCTTCCAGTCACAAAAGAGCAACCTTACTGCTGCTCCAAGGATTGCTCTTGAGGAATTGCAGTAACAAATATAAAATTAAATCATGTCACCATTAAAAAAATAGATTGAAGGTTGCTATGTCATAATAGATCCAAACACTTGCCCCGGATTTACTTCTAGATCATAATTGTTCTAGTGAATCACTAAAGAAAATAGATTAAAGAAAATAGAGTAAAGTACCTTTTGGGTCCTCAACAAATATCACGAGGCCTAATTTAATCCCTTAGAAAAAAAAGTCGACTCGCGGTCCCTCTGAAATTCAAAATAAACCCATATTAGTCCTTTTAAGGGACTAACATGGGTCTTCTTTGAATTTCAGAGGGCCACAATTTCAACTAACTGGGTCTATTTTGAATTTCAGAGGGACCATAAATCGACTTTTTTTTCTAAGGGATTAAAATGGGCCCCGTGATTTTTGTTGAGGGCCTAAAAGGTACTTTACTCAAGAAAATATAGAATAGATAGATAGGAGATAGAAGAGAGAAGAACTCAATATAAACATCTTTCATAAGTTCACTAATTATGTTTTTTGTTGGTGGGTCTCTTTGTATGTGTTGTCCGAAAAGAGGATTCGTTTGTCGAAACAGAAGTCAAAATTTTGGTAGATAGGGATCCCATAAAAACGTCTTTTGAGGAATGGGCAAAACCCAGTCATTTCTCAAGAACACTAGCTAAGGGACTTGATACTACTACTTCGATCTAGAACCTACAGGCTGATGCTCATGATTACAATAGCCATATGAGTGATTTGGAGATTTCCCAAAAAGTTTAGTGCCCATTTTGGGTAACTCTCAATCATCTTTCTTTGGCTGGGTGGCATGTATTTCTATGGTGCTCATTTTTCCAATTATGAAGCGTGGCTAAGCGATCCTACTCATATGATCCATTTATTTCAATAATGGATCATATATAAATCATTAGGGACCCAACCTACTTTTTCTGCATGACAACTTTTCCCTCATTTGAAATATACAAGAAAGTAAGCCACAGATATTCACATGTTACTGGATAAACCAAAGATGAAGTCACTAAGTAACTTCCACTTTTGTAAGCCAAATAGAAAGCATCAACCAACCCAGTCTGTATCATCCTTTACAATATATTTCTCAATGTCTCTCAAAATACTCAGATTTATCCCCATCAAGCAAGTATGAGACAAGCTGAAGTAAGTTAATAAGCCCATAACTTTGGAAAACAGAAAAGTGGAAGGGGCAAGTAAACATTGGAGACACTTCAGTGCTAGGTCATACTCATTGGGATCCAGTGAAAAAACACATATATTAGCATATCCGAGAAAGAAGAAATAGCGTTACCTGGGCAAGTTCTAGAATTTCATTATGGTCTTTGTTCAACTCAGTTGGAACCGAGCGAACAAGTTTTCTCTTTCCAACAGAAATAACTTCAAAACCACTACCCAGCACCTGAAATTTTTGTGACACGTCAGTATGAATCACCACAAGGTCAACAAGGATGCACATAACAAAACTCTCAACAAGTTGATAAAAGAATATGTATGATCCAAAAAGAAAAATAATAACAAGAAAAATGCACCACTCACACACCTTTGTGAACTCCACAAGCTCTTCCAAAATACACATGCAAGTTGGGTTCACTATATGTAATTTATCCAATCCAACCATAAATTAATCATTTTACTAAAACATGCAATGAAGATAAAGATAAGTTAATCATAACACTACCATGCGTTCCATTATTTAATACTCAGTAATTTGTGTAGGACAGGGGCTAGCATCCTGTCAATAGTGTTTTTCTTTTGTAAAAGAAGTTTGGATATTATAAAAACTTAAAAACATAAAGATCTATAGACAATGGTTGTTCTATGTACATTTCAGGTATTAATGAAGAGTTTTGTCCTCTCAAATTCCCCTGGTTTACTCTTGGAAAACTGAAGGTCATTTTCTACAACTCAAGGCCAGATTTCAGAGCAAGTTCAAAGTTGTCCAAAGAAGTGGTCTCCTTCCATATTTAACCCTTTCCTATCCCAATTTTCCCCCTTCATCTAATACCATTATCGAGTTTCTCTTGTTTAGGTGATAATCGGTTTGGCCATTACCGTTCATGATCTTTGCTCATACCATTTCTGAATTTGAGTCCTAGAAAGCATCGACATTACTATCCCAAATCCCAAATGTATGTAAGGGGAACATCCATTAAAGGAAATCAAGAACTCCATATAGTTATGGTCGTTCATAGAACAGGATTAGTTAATAGGAAAAAGTCAAAGGCAAGCTGTTAAAGTTGTAGAACAAAGTACATAAAAAATGCACTCATGTGTAAACACAAGAGATAGCAGAAGCCTTAAACACAACTATTTGGTAAGATTTCTTAGGTCAAGCATATTTTATCTACATCTCATTCATAAACAGAAATAGTCATAATCTAGTTTATGGGCAACCTAAAGCACAAGACCTTCAGCTTACTGATAGCACGCAGGCAATCATCCTCAGAAACAACTCCACGATCACTTTTTCGTCTCTGACGAAGGAGATGACAAAGTTCCTGCAGGTTGATCAGTCCTCCATTGTGGGCTCGAGTAGCCAAGCAAATATCAACTATTTGAACTCCTGTCTAGCCAAGTAGCTCTTTTTAGCATACATCCCAAGAAAATAGTGAAATTAAACAGGTTGAATTTAATTAAAAAACAAGTCAGGAATGATTATACTTTAACATTTGTAACATACTGAAGTATAACGTAATGTGAATGAAACCACAAAGAGAACCACCATGTTCATAAGGTCTTATCTTAGGGGATAAAAGCCAAGTTAAGAACAGAATACCAAGCTTTGACAATTAAACATATAAGTATTAATAGAATACCAGATTAGTTATTAAGGCTGTAGATGTTCTTTTCTCATAATGCTAAGACTACTACTGTTAATCTTAATCCCAGTCTCTGCTTTTCTACAAACCACAGTTGTTTTACCTATATCTATTTCTGGAAACCTAACCTTAGTTACCATTACCTCAAGTATCTCCCCTGTCCCTCTGACAACCTACATAACTGCAACTCGCTGTTTTTTTATTAAAAAACACCAACAACAAAAACAAGGCTAAACGAGAAATTATCATCACGTGTTATATTGATATATTAATACAGCTTAGGATGCCTAATGGACTAAATATTGAGACACGGTCAAAGGCTGAAATACTGCAAGAACAATAGCAAGTAAATCTATAATTTTTTAGGATATTATTCATGATAAATTTAAAGTGGTGCAGTGTCTGCAGCAACCACAAAATTGAAGATTTGACAACTCAATAAAGGATACAAGAGCTGAACCAGTTACTGAAACTACGGAAGAGAGTACTAGAATTTAATAACAAGTGGTTGTCACTTGTCAGTAACTTGTACTGGCAGGACAAAGATTCTACTATTTTGAATCTATAATTACACATTGTCAGTACTTGGTGATAAAGGAATAAATGCTAAAGATTAATTAATTTAAGGGATCCTGTTCTTGTACACGGCAATGCAATGTTAAAAGCAAGTAATTGGCGCCTTCTATCTAATGTTTACTCATGTACATCATAAACAGATAAGCTAGTATGATATGTATGCCTATCAGCCAATGAATTTGAAAATTCTTAAAAAGCTTGCTGAAGTTAAGTTTTCTTCCTTAAAGTGAAACAAAGAAACAGGATGTTAAAATTGTACTATTCCTCATCTCTGGATTAGAACTGTTATTCTTTTTTACTCCAATAAAATTAGCAATATTAAATCCAAGCTATAGCTATAATAGTTCCTCTTATTCAAATTCAAAGTAAGACTCTGATATATAGTTCAGACACTACATATAATCATATTACTCTATTAGAAAATGAATGTTATTGCATAAAACTGTTAAAAGAAATGCATATATCTAAAAGTGACTCATTTGTTGAGAAAATGACCAAATGTTAAGAAAGATATTACCAACCGAGTTCATAATAGAAGTCACCAATTCCTAACAGCTCTGCCCAGAAACCCTTATTTGAGGCCAAGGGATCTACACCAACTTTAGCACACATCTCATGAAACTGTGATCTGAATGCAGGGTTCTTGCGGATATCATTCTGAACCAGTGATATTAACCATTAGCATGATTTAATTTAATTATTAACAGCATAAAATTTTATAATTAAAGCGGGATTGCTTTAGAAGGCCAACAGCAGAATACATGAACAACGTGAGTTGTTAGCCAACGACTCAACGATGCCCCTGAAGTTCAAAAGCTGAACAGAACTCTGCTGAACATGCAAAAGCTGAAATAACTTCTAAAACATTTTAGCCCCTCCATTATTCAGAAAACAGCATCATAGCTAAAAATACATCAAATTCACCCTACTCCCATGCAATCCCATTGTTAACAACCAGAAACAGCACTGTTTACAACCACAGCTTCTGCAATTAAGCTAAAAACTAATACCCAACCCAACCCAACCACACTGAAGTTTGTGAGGATCCCAGAACCAAACCCATCTCCTAAGCCACAAACTTTCATTAATTTTCACATAAAAACAGCCAAACCCAATTGCCAGAACTCATCAAAACAACTTATTTTGCATTTAAAGCGTCAATTTTTGAAAACCCAATTGAAATTTTCCAACACCCCAAAACTAAAACCCAACTGTTTATAGCAACACAAACTTGAGTTTCCACCACAAAATCCAACAAGCGCAAAAAAGAGGTTGAAGAAAAAAACACCAACCTTGTGCTTACGAGCAAAATCTTCAAGCTGAGATCGAAACGTGGCAAGCTGCTCCTTCATCAAATCGGTTCTGATCTTGGCTACATTTTCACCTAACAAACGATATTGATCCCTTGCAGCAGCAGCTGTTTGCAACCCTCCAATTCCAGGCCTTCTCCTCATTCTACTACTCTATGCCTTTACCAAATCTTTATTCCGATTATAATATCTTTGCAAATTGGGTCTCCTGGGTAGTGCTTTTGTTGATGAAATATAATGATTTTAAGATAAAAAAAATGACACCTTCGGATATTAAACAATTTCTTTTTTTTTTTAAACCATGAGTTTTCAGCTCCTGATTGGGAATTTCTAAAACCCCTCGTGTCTTTCCACTCAGATCAATTCTAACACTTCTTCATCGATCGTAACGATTTGGACGATTAGAAAGTCAGAAGAAAGGAGATGAGAGTTGTATAAAAAATACATTAAAAATATTGAGTGAACACCAATTTTTCCTTACGAAGTCTTTTTCAGTTCCTGACAATAAAAAAGGATTAAATTGGTCCCTGAAAGTACAAGAAAAGGGTCACTCTACATATTTGGGAGTTGACATAAGGACTAACATGACATTTTTTTTGTAATTTCAGGGACCAATTTGGTCTTTTTTTATTGTCAGGGACTAAAAAGGACTTCGTAGATATTGACAGGAACTAAAAAGGGTGTTTACTCAAAAATATTTATACATAAGTTTTTATCATAACGTATTTTTCGGAGTACATATTCATACACAAAAAATTTTAAATTCCTTTAAACAAATTTTATTGTATGAGACCATCCTTTGGGATCTATTTTTTTATTAGTGAGAGTGAGAGATAAATTATTTTGCACATAAGTTAAACCAAAAAATATAAGGAAAAAAATATATTATTATGTTAAGTGACATATATATATTTATGGGTTCGATTTTTTTGTAGTAGTGGCAGAAATCAAATATATGCCACAGACACAAAAATGAACCAATTGGTTTTTTTTTTTAAATATTAGCAAGATTCGACGTCGTATCCTAATAAATATGTGTCTACGACGGACAAATTATTTCTATTGCAATTGCATAAATAATTTGGAGACGTGCCTTGTAATTATCTTAAAATATATAAATAATACATCTAATTTTATTTCCTTTTGACTCATCTCATTTAATCCTTATTATCAAATAACTATATAACTTATTCCATCCAGACGTGCCTTCTACCATCCAGCACGATATGGAGATTGAGAAGAAGTCTCGAAGCTTTCTTTAGGTCTCCATCCAAGAGAAAAGAAAAGTCTATATTATTATGAATGAAAGGAGAGTGAAAGAGACCAACTACAATTCGCTTATGAAAATAGGTCATGGCCTTCTAACTCATTGACATGTGTTTTGAACCAAAGTCTTGGGCGATGATCTGCTCCTAAAGATTAGGATCCTTATCTCTAGGTGTATGCAAAAAAAACCAAAAATTTGAACAAAATTGTGAACTGAACCGAACTACACTTAAAATAACCGGTTTTTGAAAAACAGTTCATGAACTGAACTGATTTTAAAGAATCCGTTCAAGAACCAAACTGGTTTTTAGAAACTAGTTCAAGAACCGAACCGAATCAAACAGTTTTCGAACCAAACAGAATCAGTTTCAAACCGAATAGTTTTATTATTTTATTTCTTTTTTTCTTTTCAAAATAGTTCGTCCCGAATCGAACCGAACCGTTTTCAAACTGAACTGAATCGGTTTCCAACCGTACCAAATTCTTTTCAAACCAAACCGAACCGTTTAAACCAATTCGCTTCAGTTCTTCAAAAAATTCAGTTCAATTTGACCCATGTACACTCTACCTATCTCCACGTCAAACCTTTGGAGAGGTATATCAAGCGTATGGAATCAAGGCTTTAGGATTAACGTTGGCAACAGGAAGAGAACTAAATTTTGGGAGGATAAATGGATTCCTAATAGGGGCATCCTTCTTAATAACACCATATGCCCAATAGACTCTTGGGAACTAATGACTCTCTTAACCATTAAAGTGTAAATCTAGTGGGACTTTCTTTGTAGTATTGCAACGGTGACTAATTAAATAACTAGCAAATCAAAGTTTGGCCTTTGAACCACTTTCCTAAACACCAACGTTATGAATTAACTTTATCTAATTCCAATGCCAATAGATAAACACATAAGGTACCAAAGTATCACACAATCAAAATACATATGAGAGAGAATAAGAAATGATTTAAGAATTTTAACGTGAAAAACTCTCTCAATGTGAGGAGTAAAAATCACGGGCAAGAGCAGAAAATATTTTAATTAAGTGAAAGAAAATTATAACCTCTCTAATTCTAAGGAGAGAACAATATACTCTCTCTTAAAATAGGAAACTTCTCACTTACTCACTCACTTAAACCACTTGGAGAACACTTGTTTTCAAGTGTGGGATGCTTAGAATGAAGAAAATGAAGCCTACTTATAGTTACAGGTGATGAACCATAGCCACATGTTTCTCTTTCGTTTAGAGCCACAATGGTTGATTATAGCCACACAAAAGTGTCTTTATAACCTCTCTAATTCTAAGGAGAGAACAATATACTCTCTTTTAAAATAGGAAACTTCTCACTTACTCACTTAAACCACTTGGAGGACACTTGTTTTCAAGTGTGGGATGCTTAGAATGAAAGAAATGAAGCCTACTTATAATTACAGATGATGAACCATAGCCACATGTTTCTTTTTCATTTAGAGCCACAATGGTTGATTATAGCCACACAAAAGTTTCTTTATAACCTCTCTAATTCTAAGGAGAGAACAATAAAATCTCTCTTAAAATAGGAAACTTCTCACTCACTCACTTAAACCACTTGGAGAACACTTGCTTTCAAGTGTGGGATGCTTAGAATGAAGGAAATAAAGCCTACTTATAGTTACAGGTGATGAACCATAGCCACATGTTTCTCTTTCATTTAGAGCCACAATGGTTGATTATAGCCACACAAAAATGTCTTTATTAGGTGCCTACATACATCAATCTCCCACTTAAAATCACTTTTGGTGAGCTTCAAAATCTTTTCCCTCTTGCTAGTTCTTGCTGCTTACTGTTGGGTCAAAAGCTTGTTGGGTGGAAAATATATATGTTGTAGAACGTTCCTCAGTTCGTTAAGAGAAAACACAATTGCTCTCTTAGTTTCAACCCAAGTGCGCAAGTGCACGCATCAAGTAATAAATGGGAGTATTAATGCCCAGATTATCGTTCCCACGAGGATAGAACTCTAATTAATGCCTTATACTATTTTACAAAGAATGAAAATGAAAAAAAAAAGTTAGTAATTGACCTGTTTGGTCAAACGTTCCCTACTGTCTTGACAACATTCTTCAAGAACAGTAGGTGCAATCTGACAGCAAACAGCTCCTCGCGTCGTTATATATGAAATCCTTCTTCATAAAAGAAGGTTTGACAATTTTCATTTGAGTTTTGTAGATACAAGATTGAATAAAGTAAGCAATAATAAAAGTAATAACAATAATTAAGAGACAACAGTATAGATGGTTTTAAAAACAATAATAACAGACGGAATAGATCCACTGCTCCATTCATAAATAGTTATTTTCTCTACTCAAGACTCAACACTTTTGTATTTGTTCCAGTCTCTTCACTGCCAACTCTGATTCCTCAGTTCATGGACTAAATGGCTTATAAGTTTCCAGATTCCTATGGCTCCCTTGACTGCAACAAGTACTGGGTACAAGACCTTCAAGTGAACAAGGTGGTCCCTTATTCCTAAGGCAACCAGCAGTCTTGTTTCCACTGCCTTCCCCCTCTAGTTAAGTTGTCTGAAGTCCCTTCCTTATGGAAGTTCCTTTCTCAGTATGTGTTCAATTTCCATTGATACACAATGAATATAGTTCACTTAACCAAAGAAACACAAAAGCTGTATTACAAGAGTTTTGAAAATAATTCTTTAAGAACTTTGCAGTTTTTCTGTTCCACAGATAGTTTAGCCCATGGCTATTAGTTTAAACATAATTATTCCAAACTGAAGTCCTATAGACCCAAGATTCAGTTCAGAGGTAATGAATGGAAAGGAGAGAAATAACACTTGTATTTAAATGAAAACAAATTGATTACACAAAATGAAAAATGGAGAATATGGTTGCTGCTTGTGAGTAGTCTCAAGTGGGTGATACAGAATCAAGAAGAAGTGTTGTCACTTAACTAAAGTTAAAACTATACAACTACAAATTACAAAATAAACTAAGTGATCTCTTCTTAAGGAATTCGATGATTTTCTGTGTGCTGGAACGTCCTATTTATAGGAAGAAGAGTGAATGGCAAAGTGGGTAATTCTCTTGGAGTTGTTTTCTTAACTGCACGAAAGGGGCAGTGTGAACAGTGCTTTGAGGGGCACAAATGGCTGGATGGGACAATTATTGTTGAGATTTGTCTTTCCTTCTGATCTCCCTCATGCTTGCTTTCCTCTTAGCCAATAGGAACCGTTTATTCCCTGATGTGCACGTTTCTCCTTGCTTTATTGCTACTCCACTTGTGCGTAATTGGAAACTTCTTTTCAACGTTTCCTGAAAAGTGGTCAGAGAGATTGAGTAAGTGAAGCAGGTGTATTTAATGTTCCAAATCCGTTCCCCTTTATCTATTTTTCAAAAGATTACGTCATCATCCGTTTCCCACTGTGTTTTTGTAGAAAAGATATAACACATGTGTTTTTAGTGCCAAAGTTGCTCATCAGATGAGGGAACAAATGGTATTTTGCCATCAAAATGGGCTTAGATGGAAACAAAATCTCGTCCCATCAAACACCCCAAAACTAAACTGTTGGTTGTCCTCAAACAACTCAGAATAGTGGCTTAAGCTGCTCAATTTCAAAGAATAGCTCAACATCAAAAACTTGAACCAATGAGTAACCATGATCTTTTCAAAGATTGAACTATTTTCCACATGTGATAAGTAGAAAGAATTTGTTCCAAGGTAAGTGAAGATTGCTGATCTTCTGTCTCACTATCACTCGGGGCTTGGTGTTTCTCTGTCCATTCCTGGATGTGATTCTTCAAACTTGCTTATCTGCTACTTTCCTAAGCAGTGCAGGTGTCTTTCATTTTCAAGGATCTTTGTAAAAAGACTAATGGAAGGGTTTTTTAAAATGGAGTGGTCACAGGTCTTGGAGTAAGGAACGTTTTTCTGTTTGTTTGTTTCAGAGCTGGACTTTTATGTTTGAGGAAACACCTTATCTTTTGTACCTTCTTTCCGTCTCTTGAAGGGAGATTGCCTGGTATTTTTCTTCTGAATTCTTTTGAATGGTTGTTCTCTTTTTTCTTTGTTTCCTATTTTCTTGCCCTTTTTTGCTCATTTTAGATTGGCTCTTGTCCTTTTTCCTTGACCCGGTGGTGTGTATG